CAATCAAATTTAACACCCGAAACGTCTCTTTCGCCCCTTTCCTTTCGGAAACTGGAACCGTCTGTAACGTGTGCAGCCTCGCCGCCACCGAGGTTTTCGTTGATGCTGGGCTTTCTCAAAGTGAACAGGCTTGTGGCACCTGTATCATGACCGAGAGGTCTGTCCACCCTGTCCGGATCATTTTCCGCGCAAGGACCGAGACCGCAGACATTCGCTTCCCCGCGTGTCACTGCGTGGGTTTCTAAGTCGCGTCTTTGCTTTGCCTCCTGACCGTCGCTGGCGAACTTGCCCGGAAAAAGTCCGCTCTCACGACTTACTGACTTCGACACAGGAGCCCACGCTTCGTGGACATAGCCGCTTATTGCTCGTATCTCCCTCAGAGTCGTCCTGACATCCTGTATGCTTCTGTTGATTAGAAACAGCGAGCGGTTGCACTCCTGCTCGATGACCCCTTTATGGATTTCGCATTTTTTCCTTTCGTACGCGTTCTTCATGCGAGCCTTCATGAAGTTCTCGCTCCTTGCGCTAACTTGCATGGCTCAGTCTGTAGCCTTCATGTTCGTGCGGTGAAAGTCCTACAGCGAAAGACCGCGGAACGCCCGGTTTGTTGAGGAACACAGACGAGAGCCGAGTGGGGATTAATCTCTGTGCACTCTTTAAAATGCAGTCGTGGGAGGAGGCTACCCGGTGACATCAGACGTTTCCACGAAACGGCCTGGAGAAATGACTTGGAGTCGCCTCTGAAATTCTACCGAGTGACCCCGAAAACCCAAAGGCAGTGATCCCCTACAGTGTACAGTATAGATCGCACTGGATAATTAATGCTGCCCTGTCTTAAACTTTTTTCCCCCGGCTCCCCAGAATATTTGAGGTTTGTAGAAATTCATTTTACTTAAAACAACAACAACAACAACAACAACAACAATTCACTCGTGACTTCAAAACGCGTGTAATTTAAAGGACAAAATGCGGGTATATTATCAACACTCGCTTGGTTTCTTTTTTTAAGTACAAAACTTTAAATTCGTCAAACCTACTGTACCTGTCCAGTACAACCGTACTGCATTGCATGTTTAGCAACCTACTGCAAACAACTCTCTGCTAGAAACTGTTGTGCTTCTGAGTGAGACGGGCATGTAAAATAAAATCAAGTAAAGTATATATATTCTAAATGAAATGCGTTTTTATTTTTTTGATCATGTGGTTATTCTAAGGGTATTTTACCTCAAGAGTTGCGTTCAAACGGTTCGGTTCCGGGGAACTGAAGGCGGTATTTATGGCTTAAACCTTCATAACACATAGCTATCCTCATTTTCCAGTTATTAATTAATTAATATTAGCCATGACACTATATATCACGTCATGCTGGTGGATGCTGCACATTGGTGGTGGTGGAGGGGAGTCCCCATTACTTATAAAGCGCTTTGAGTGGAGTGTCCAGAAAAGCGCTATATAAGTGTAAGGAATTATTATTATTATTATTATTATTATTATTATTATTATATTAATATAATAATATTTTGCGTTCGTGTAATCGTCAATTTGTTCGTACTGTATCAGCGTACTTCTGCTTCTGTCCACTGGATGGCAGTAATAAACTGAGTCATTCGTTAATGGCTTTACTCTGTTTTCGCCTCAAGGGGTCTGCCTGCATCTCTTGCTCCTAGTGAGACCGCCGAGCTGCTGGTGTTCCGTCCTGCTGAGCGCTTGATACTCCAGCAACTCCTCGGTGTAACTAATAATTCAATTAAATGCACATCCGTCTTCATTTTCACTGGCTAAAACAGGCGATGTCACATGAATTGGAACGAGTAATCTCTAATGTAAGAACTGAAAACAATATAGATGTCGTAATCAAACCAAATTATCCATTCAACAACAGACCCCATTAAATTACGAAGGACCAGACTTGGGAAGTCCTTTCTTAAGTGTGTTGTATTTCTTGTGTCTCCATTGCTACCCGTTACACATGTCCACTTTTAACTGTCCTCTGCTGGCAGAGAGCTCAAGTGGACAGTGCATGAAAGCGCTTTTAAATGTCTTTACACATAGGATGGCGGGAGTGTGGAACAAGCTACCCTGCCATGCTGTTGAAGCCGATACCCTGGCTTCCTTCAAGAAATGGCTGGATGAGATCCTGGGATCAGCTCCCAAACTGGGCTAGCCAGGGCTAACTGGGCCAACAGGCTAGATGTCCTGAATGACCTCCTCTTACGTGTAACTGTCCTTACGTCCTCCCTTATTTCAAACATCCACGCCCATATTTCTGAAAGCTTGTGCTGCCTTTCAGAATTTGCTTCGAGCTCTATCCCAACTCCGCAGGATAGTCAGTTCTTTTGCTGCCCGTGGGGAAAACTGCCCTATTACTCTGCTTCAGCAGTGCGTAGGAAGACTACAAGTCTGATCTGCGGAGGCGGGGTTCCGTTCTGCGGTTAGTGAAAGCGTTTGGCTTCGGACAGCAATCGATACTTGGCAACTTGGAGACGTGTTTGAGAATTCCAGTTGCGTGTTTAAATGGCCTTTTTTAGAAAAAGCACAAAATGTTATAAAATGGTATAAAACAAGGGGATACAACCTGTCTGTCTGCACTGTAAGCACCCCTTGTGTGCGGTGTACCCCAAACTCCGGAAAGTGTCACAGTGTGCAAGAGTAGAATAAGAAACGATGCATTTGAGAGGCTACCTTGACAGTTCTGCTTATCAGGTTGTTAGCGGGATA